CTATATGGGCCTTGTGAGAATATCCATCCACTCCAATTTACCTTTTTTCAGTGCTTATGTTTGCGGTGTGAGGAGACACATAGAGACAGCCACCATTCACACTAATGAGGAAGATATTCATCATTTATTTCACACTCAATTTGCCATTCAACCATCCCAAATCTCCTGCTTTATTGGTCATTTATGTTCCATTCCCAGCTGCCAGGGCCTCTCACTAAGAACAGACTGATGGCTCCTTTCACTGCTGTTCCCTCAGATACTGGTTCAACAGGCTTCTGCCTCCCATGTTGCCTTTCATCAGAATGCTTCCGCACTGCACAAACAGTTCGTTTTAATTTGGGAACAGGCTCAACAAATTCTTAGACAATGTCACTCATGTGCAGTTCATCTTTCCTCACTCCATATGGGAGTGAACCTCCCAAGGTTTCACCCCAAACATCTCTGGCAAGGGGATGTCTCTCACATTCCTGAGTTTGATTCTCTCTACTGTGTCCACATGTCAGTGGATACTTTCTCAGGATTTATTTTTAATTCCTCCCACACTGTTGAAGTAGCAAATATGTTATTGCTCATCGTTTGGAGGATTTTAACATCCCTAGCTGCCCATTGGCATATAATTCAGACATTGGCTTGGTTTATACAACTGCTGACTGTCAAATGTGAAACTTTTAACATTTTCCTTACCTCAGAAATTCCTTATAAACCTTAAGGTTAAGGAATTGTTGAATGTGTTCACCATTCACTCAAAATTCAAATACATAAACCAAAGGGGGAATTTTTCACTACCAAAGTTCACATCTCATAATAGATTTCATGTGGCATTTATACTATTAACTTTTTATTTTTCTTGATAAAATATTAGTAGTTCTTTTATTAATTTTTTAAGGAGAATGAAATTTAACAAAGTAAAACAGAATAAACAAAATCAAAACAAATCAGAGAAAGTGATGCAAAACTTCAACACAAAATAATAGGAAATCTACAATGGCCACCATAATATCTCTTGTTATCTTCATAATAGTTTTCCATGTCAATAAATAGAGTACAATCAAATAAAATGAAGCAAAATAAAATCAATCAAAGCAAAACATTAAACAAAACAATAAATTGGAACAAAACTAAACAGAACAATTTTGGATTTCAAGAGCAAGACAAAATAAAATATAGCATATTTGCTATGTTTCATGCTGTGATCCCCCTAATAGGTACTCAGATTACTGGTTTTAGGCTTGCAGAATCCATCAAACAATATTACCATTTAGTTGTTTTTGTACCTCAGTTTAACTTTTTAAATCCTACTGTGAGTTGGATACAGATGCAGAAAGACAATCCAGGTAAAAGAAAAGGCTGAGAAGGGTCCTTTGGGAAGATCTTCATACTCAACAATAGAAGGGACTCTGTGGAGTAGGGGTATGCTTGTGTTCCTCCAGGAAGTGCTGAATGGCTTATCTACTATTGAATGGCTTATCTACAGAAGTAGCTACTTCTGTTTTCTTTCCCATGGCTTACTTGGTATACACTGTACTAAAATGCAAAAAATCAACCTGTGTTAGTAATGACTGAAGATTATAAAGAACAACTTATGAACAGTGCTATAATCTCATAGACACCTTTTCACTGAGATTTCATGGGCCTTAGGGTAAAAGACCAGAGTACTTTATCATTCGTCTTTATGTAAAAAATTAATGCAATCAGAAGCAGTGATGTGACACACTGTGATAGTCATTGTAAGTGTGTAAAGCAAATCTGTATTCTGAGTTAATGTCAATCCCCATGTACACACATTTCTGCACTAATCAGTGAAGTATAATCTACTTGTTACAAAATTAATTATCTTGTACCCCCAAAGGGTTTTATGATTTTGGGTGCTCAGAGTTATCTCCCATCAGTTATAAGACAGGTAAGTCTTGGTACAGGAGTCTCATCAAGGGTGATGTGTATTTTCCTTCACATCACCTCAGCATTTTGAGGTGAGCAAAGCTAATGCTTTAGAACCTAATAGTCGAGGCTTGAGGGCATGTCCCAGGCAGGTCCACTGTGTATCAGAAAATTCCAGAATATTAGGTTTCCTAACTCCTGCTTTCTATAAGTTGCTACCAAAATGATTCAACAGTTTTATGGGGGAAAATGAGTCCAAACAGAAGCTATGGCAGAAGGAACCCAGAGACATTTGTAAGCAAGATGTACAGTTTTACTTATCTTTGAGCACAACATAAGAAAGATTTTGCCCATATTACTTTTCTCCTAAAAAGCCATCTCTTGTAATTTATCCTTGTCTCCACGTCTCTTATAGATATGACTGATTAAAAGATGGATTGAGAGAAATACTACTATTTTCCTGCTATGATCACTCAGAATGGTCATTTTCATGTATAAATCAGGTCATAATTCTGCTTTATTTTCAATTTTATTTTCACTTTGATTTCTACCAAAAAAAATGTGGTTGAACTTTTGAAAATCTATGCAAACTCTAATTATCTCATTTTCAAATTTAGCAAAAGCATACATGTATATATATATATATATATATATATATATTAAGTTTACATATGAAGTACATGCACATATTATGACTACATTGTAAGTCCTCTAACAAAATGTGTTATAATTTACTATAATATCAATATTTTAAAAATAATTTTATTGCTTTGAGGCAGATTTTTAATAAGTGTATTTATAATTTTGCTGCCATAAACACTGACAGAATAAAGATGCTTTTTCAAGTAGTTTTATTTATTGAATTTTAAATAATTAGCATGATCGGACTTCAGAATTGCTAGGTTAAAAAACCAGATAATTAATTTATTTACATCTATTTGTAATATTACCAGAACAAAAGCCTTTGCTCAAATTGATAATAGCCACATATGATAAACCTCCTGCTCAGATTATACTGAATGGAGAAAAAAGAAACAATATCTTTGAATACATGACGGCGGCCACCTGGGTGGCCTCTTTTCCACTCTTATGCTATAAGAGCTAAAAATTTACCCAGAGCAATGAGAGAGAGAAAGAAGCAAAGGGTTACTAACAGGAAAGGGAGAAGTTTAATGATCTGCATTTGTGGATGACATGATTCTCTACATAGAGTATTTAATCCAGCAAAGATTAAAAGCACAAAATCAAAACAAAACAGAATAAAACAAATTCAGTAAGAGTGGTAATATCATAATCAATGCATGCAATTCAATAGTAATCCCATACACCAATAATTACCTCACCGAGAAAAAAAAAATCAACAAATCTACTTCATTTAGGATAGCTTCAGAAAACAAATTCCTAGGAGTCAACCTACTTAAAGAGACTTCTCTAATGAAAACACTAGAAGTGCGCAGAAAGGGTTTCAAGACACACTGGAAAATGGAAAGACATCTCTTGCTCCAGGATAGGCAGAATTAACGTCATGAAAATGGTCATATAACAAAAAACATATACAGATTTAAAGCAATCCTTATCAAAACTCTGCATAATACTTGGCAAAAAGCAGCCCACAATTTGTATGGAACCAGAAAAGTCCCATAATAGTCAAAGTAATCATAAATATTTGGATTTCAAGTAATAGCCATGAAGACATAATAACAAAAAAGCATGAGATCTGCCTCAAATAGACACACAGACAAATAATATAGAAGACACAGAAACAAACTGATGAGACTTCAGGCGTCTCATTCTTAACAAAAAGACAGGATATCCCAGAACGAATGGTCCTGGGAACACTAAGCAATCCACAGACAGAATTTAAAAAGTAGACATGAATGGATCAGTGACCTACATATGAAAACAGAATAGCTGAATTAGTGGGAATATAGCACAGGGTGAGTTTGCAAAAAATAGACACAGCCAAAACCCTCCTGGATAAATTCCAACAGCACAGGAAATAACACCAAGCATCACCAAATGGATTACAACGGAATACTCTTATATAACGGTGAAAATGATCAGCAGAGTGAAGAGACAGTCTATACAATGGGAAGGTGTATTGGCAGCTTCTCTTCTGATAAAATGCTAGTACTTCAAATACATAAAGCTCTCATAAAATAATTCAAACCACAAAGAAAATAATCAAAGACAAACTTAAGAGGTATTTTTAAAATATTTGTTCAAATGGTCACAATACAAATGGAAAAACTGTCATTATTTTTAGGCAATAGGAACATGCAAATCAAAATCACTCTGAGTTTCTGTCTCATTCCAGTCAAAATGGCTGTTTCCAAAAGCACCATTAACAGCAACTACAGGACAGAATGTAAGGAAATCAAACTCTTATGCACTGTTTTGTGGGAATGCAAACTAATACTATAATTATGGAAATCATCATGGAGATTCTTCAAAAATTCCATTTGACTCAGCTGTATCTCTCCGGGCTGTATACCCCAAAAAACGTTACTGACATGATACTCAAATGACACGTGCATACAGAGGTCTATAGCAGAAAATTCATAACAGCAAATCTTTAGAAACAACCTCGAGATGCATTAATGAATAGATACGGAAAATGTGACATGCATGCAAGTTATTCAGCCACAAAGAAAAATGAAATCATATCACTTAAAGTAAAAGGGTAGAACCTGAGAGCATAATGGTAACTGAAATAAGTCAAAGAAAGAAATTTAAGTATTATCTTATGATTGCTTTAATATAAGAAATTTGAAAAATAAGGAATCAAAGTGCAAACTAAAGGCAACCTTGAAAACATGGAAGGGAACTGAGGAAAAAAGGAGCAGGAGATACTGAAGGTAAAGGGTTAAAAAATGTGATCAAACTTGATTTATACAGTCACGAGTTCCCCAAGGACAATCTAACTAGGATGTGCTATAAACACACAGTCACTGAAAAGAAAAAGAAAACCTCTTCTGCCTATGGGCAGATCAAACTGAAATTAAGCTCTTACTAAACCACCTGTTTACTCAGCTGCTCTATGGTCAGCCTGTTATCTTTACAGTGGCCTGTCAGACTCCAGCTGGCAAAAGGCTCCTCCTCTTGCGCCTTATACAAGGCGCTCCAGTGACACTGAGGCTTAGGCACCACACAGCGAGAGGATGTGGACCATGCTGGGCATCTCCAATTTTCTCTTCCTGAGCTGTTTTTCTGTAGGATTTGCCCAAAATCCAGGGACAGCCCCAGTTGTTAATGAGGGGTACCCTCCTTTTTGGGACCAGATTAATGGGGATATAGCAGAGTATCCAGTAAAGAATGGGAAAAGTGTCATCAATGTCTGGAACTACCTAGATCGGCTGAAAATGTATAAGATCCTGATTACAGAAACCAACAAGTATTTTGTTCAGTTTGGAAAAAACAATACAGGAAATGTACTATGGGCTCTCGCCTTATATTATGGAAAGCTGTATGAGACAGGTAAGGACATTTTAACTGTTTCCGAGGCAGTTTGTTCCTTTTTGTATAGATGTATTCTCAATAAAACAAACCATGACATATTTAAGCTTATGGGTCTGACTCTTTAGCTTAACAATATGTTCTCATTTTCATTGACCCTACAAATGTCTTAAGTTTATCTTTCTTTATGACACAGTAGTACTCTATTATGTAAAATACTGCATTTCCTCCTCCATTCATCAGCTGATGGACATAAACACCAATTCAAAACTATGCCAAAAGTGTAAACTGTGCTGCTCTAAGCGTGAGTACACATGAGTTGCAAAGAACCAGATGAATCACGGAGGCTGCCTGAGAAGGGAGATTCTCTGCTGCTTGTGCTCAGTCAGCGGAGAAGTTTACAGACTGGAGGCTCTGAGCAGCTTCCTCTTGAAGTGTTTATCTCTCTCTCTCTCTCTCTCTCTCTCTCTCTCTCTCTCTCTCTCTTCTCTCTCTCTCTCTCTTTCTCTCTCTCTCTCTCTCTCTCTGTCTTTCTCACTCTCATTCTAATTGAATGAGTCATTGTGATTTCCTATCTTTGTCATTTTCACCAAGAAAATGTTCAGCTTCCATCTTAGAGTATTTTCTTTCTTTGTAATCTATTCTGTTTTCTCTGCAGCTCGATTTTCAGAGCCTACCAACACTTTCGTCTGTGCTTATGAGGCTGGATCTCCAGGCTGCATTTCCATCAACAGTGGCTGGGGAGGTGAGAGTCTCAGGAGCCTTATGCTGCCTTACTGCTCCGTCAAATTCAGCTTTGTTCTTGTGTGACAGGGTGAATGACAGTTGGAGTATTAACTGCATCTTCTGTTGTTTATTGTGTAAACATAGGCAATTTCCCTTCAAGTTTCTGTGGGGATTAATCAATTAAAAAAAAATCACAAAGACAGCTATCCCTACAAAGACTTCTAAATCAATACACAGCACATGGTTTCTTGTAGCTTGACATCAGGAGGACAAATGTCCCTCAGTTTCAGAGTTGCTGCTATGGCTGAAACATGCTTTCAGTACCACTGCAACCACGTTCATTCCCACGTTCATTCACCCTGCTCATTCCACACTTAGCCTGACACAAGGCCTTAAACTGAATTCAACCCTGAGAGATGGTCAAATATGACAGAAGAGGGGTTTCAAGATTTGATGTGTGTGTGTGTGTGTGTGTGTGTGTGTGTACACTAGGAACAGGTTTTAGAGTCTCGTCCTTGGAAAATCTACTTCATTAGTTATTTTGGCAGTTTGCCTTACCTAACCATTAGTCTAAAATACCTTAGTATTCTACGAGGGCTTTTACCTTTCTAACTGTAATAACAATTTTAGAATTCCAGGCCAAAGTCTTTTGAGAGGATTCTTCAGGTTTAGGCCCAGTTAAAACACACCAGGCTAATTATTAAAAAGCATTCTGCAAACATACATTTCAGAGTGAAGACCTTACTTTGCAAAATACTCTATATCAAAATGCTTTTACATCCAGTAGAGGAAGTTGAAAGAGATATTTTTAATAATGATCATTAGTTCAATTTTCATGATTCAGAATAAAGATCAAAACCAGTATAATGAGGACAAAAGATGAGGTAAATATCTTGTCACTTTGAGGACTGAAGGCATTTTCTTAATATTTTTTTTGTAGTTCATGCTTTTGCCTTCAGCTCTGTCCTGTCAGTTATCCTGCCTTCTCCTTGACAGCTAGACTGAATATTAAAATTAATCTCTTTGTTAGGCAGAATATAAGAAGACCTGTTTCACTAAGAAACAGCCTTGAATCATACTTCCACGCTCAAAATGAGGCCTGTAGAAATCTTTATCATGAGCTCAAGGCTGTGCACTGCCAGATTCCTGCTAAGAATGATGGACACAGGGATTGGGAAGTGGAAAACTGAGCAACACAGAGAACACACACAAGTGCCTAGAGAGAGCGAGAGGCTGAACTGAGCACCATGATGCCAAAGAAAGACACTGGAATGAAAATAAAGGAAATGTCTCAGAGTTTGAAGGAATGGGAATCATAAGCACAAATATCTAAAAAAAACTCATGCAATGGATCAAGATATACTTATTTCAAAACTTCTGTCTCACATTAGGCAAAAGCTTTCTACAATAGCACATATAGTATTCAAAATCATGTATATGTCCACCCAAACCGAGGAAAACATTTTTACCTGGGTGCCAAAATGTCTTACATAGGTTCTGTAGAGGTGTAATAGATCCAAAGCACAGATAACTTGCAGCTGGATAATTTAGGACATGCATATGCAAATATGGACATGTGTTGTGCTCTGATGTAGACTATTTCCTGACTGTACTAAATGCTCCTAGTCTCTCTTATTTCCTTCAGTCAATGAATTCCCTAAGATTGTATGAGGGAGAAACTGACTAACACCACCACTGCCTCATGTATTGTTCTTAAATCCTCTTTGGAGTAGACACTGGGTGATTCCAGATCCCTTTCTTCTGTGACATTGCAGGCATGAACTTCTATGTGGTTACTATGAATTTCTTGGGTGCAGTTGAAGCTGGGCTTTTCAAGGATGCACCACATGAGGTAGAACTAGTGGCTCCAGCAGCACATAGATCTGATTTCTGTTATTCTATTGAAGAGTGCCGTGCATTATATGGACAAGCTATGGATGTAGCCACAAGGTTTTACCAGGTAAAATAATGCAAGCTTTTCCCTTTGTTTTTCTAAGCATCATGGATGAAACATGCAAGATATTTCTCAATTTAAGATTTAAACTTCATATGTACTTAAGATAAAAGTTATATTTCTGGAATGATATCCTCTCTACTCTAGAATTCTTCTTGGGATCTGGAAATGACACAAAATAGATAGTCAATAGTAACAATACAATCTACTTACCAAAGTAGTTTGACATGCAATTTATGTAATAATTCTCAATTTATGGTTTCCAAAAGAGTACCAGCATACGCCAATGTGTAAAGCAAATAAGAATATTTAAATGAAGCCTGCAGGTGTTAAATATTAATTTTGGTATTAAATGTATTTCTCAAGGATCAGATTACTGTTTCACAGTTGTCTAGCTTCCAAATTCATAAGCCCGGGCTTAAATTTACTTTAATATGGTTTGGCGTGGTTCTGCTCACACAGATGACATGACTTTTCCTGCAATACTTACTGTCCAGGAAGCCGTCTTCCTTTCTCAGTGATGTCCCTGTGTACGACACAGATGAAGACACAGCAATCACTTACATGTGGGAAGCTCATCAAGCAGCCCTTGATGTTTCAACACCAAAATTGAGTTACACGTAAGATCCTTGTCCTCTGCAATGTAACCAACTTATGTTTTCCTGCCATCAGAAACCACTGTGTATACAATTGTCACCATATGTAGTCAGTTTTCATATTTCATAAAGTATGTAACAAAAGATATCTAACAGTTTTATGTGCAGCTCAAGAGTCTTTTTCGCCACTAGTGGAAATGCAAAAGAAAAGATTGCTACATGTGTACACTTCGTTAGAAAGAAATTCCATATCATCCTATAACACTATCATTCTCATTAAGTAGTTCTTTAGATCTGAGAAAATTATTGTGGGTGTGATATGGAATTAATTTCTGTTTTGGCTGCTAAATAAAACATGATTTCCCCTGATACCCATATAAGTTAGGTCAGGACCCTCCATGTATTAACAAATGCAATGACGCTCAAGTTATTTATGTAATGTGGCACTCTTATTTCCATGTAACCTATGCCCTTTTCTAGATATTTTAAATCACCTCTAGATTGCTTATTCTACCTGCTACAACTTTAATGTCATGCAAAACTTGTTACATTTGATTGTTATAGCATATAAGTTCACTGTAGGTGCAATGCTTTTCCAGATTGTTTTTGATTGTTCCTTGGTTGAAGTCATGGATGCAGAACCCATGGAGGTAGAATCCTTCTTGTTATGGTAATTAAGTTAAGATGGTAGGTGGTAAGATTCTGTGTTAGTTTTCAGTGTACAACACCACCTTCTTCAACAAAATGTAGATGTGCTCTCAAATGCTACCTTTGGCATACTAATTTTCCATATTAGTTCTTGATTGTTTACTCTTTTACACACGTTTTAATATGGAAGAAAGGCAAGGTGGATCATTTAATTTTTTCTGTCATGGAAACAAATTCCTATACCCACATTGTATGCCTCTTCGGTGGTTCCCATGTGTGCACATACATGCACAATGTGTGCCACTGATGTCAGTTTTTTACTTTACTTCCACTTTGCTTGCATAAATACTATAACCACTTTATTACTTAGGTTTATACTAAGTGATGTGAATAAGGTAATAATTTAACAGAGTCCACTCTATTCTTTTTTCTATTTATTTTCTTTTATATCATCTTTTACTTCATAATTTATGTTGACTCATTTTAGGTGGTGTTTCAGCTTCTTTTATGACATTAAAAGGCTCAGAGAAGTAAACAATATAGAAATTAGACATGTGTAAACAACAATAAGTAATGAGAAAGAGTTTCATATAAGAGTAACAGAAACATTGTTACATGCTCTACGCTGTAAAGATTATGACACAATATTTAGCCTGCTGTGTTGTTGTTCAAGAGATTGCTTTCTAGCCAGGTACAACATACAGGAAGTGGAAGAGACTGATTCTCTCAGATTGGAGTGGTAGATTCTTGTGAGCATTCAGGCACTAACAAGGTATGTCTAAGCTATATGGGACAAAACACATAATTGGATTATACTTGACATTGAAATGGAGTCTTTTCTGATTCACATTCTTGCAGATGGCAGTATTCTTCTAAAGCTGAAAGAGACTTTGCCAACGATTTCCTGACTGCCATACAGTTTTGCGAGGCGGCCGTATACCGTCCATACTTTAAAAGTGCATCTGAGTTTCTTGTGGGTTACCCACACCGGCTGCTCACAGACCAGGAGAACCCCATTATGGCAGAGGACTTCAGCGCACGGGAAAGGGCACAACTGTCTACAGTAAAACTCATCTCCAACATGAATAAAGTCACAGGTATGATTTCCCCTATCTTATTAGTGAATCAAATGAAACAAAGTCAACTAAATTCAGGATTTATTTTTATTGTTACTCATCCAGAATAAGCATCTATTACATTTCTAGTAAGCAGAATAGACTTTTGAGAATTCAAGCAACCTAGTTTTCTAATACCTCTAAAGTAAGTATAAGAAGTACATAATTGATCACAATGTATTCTCACTTGTGCAAAAAGAACAATATACTGAAATTTTACTTTTGTTGCAAAACATACCGGAAAACAAAGCAGGATACATTATTTCTCACCTCAGAGATGATATTCATGTTTTGAATGCCCTGGTGTTTTCTCTTCCCTGAGATTCTCAAGATACATTCTATCCTCTGCACCCTGTCCTTTTCTTTCTTTACAGAAGAAACATCAAAGCTTCCTGTTTCAGTTAGCACCAATATGATTCTTGTTCTCTCCACACTGGTGAATATGATCACTAGGGTACTTTTGCTATAAAGACGCAAGCACATTTTCACTTAGAAATCTTACAGATATTTTGCATTTTTCTTTTCCCACATTATTGCTCCTCCATAACTTGCTTCACCTAAATACTAAGGTTATATAATTTTGCCTCCTTTTCAACCTGGATTCTGTTCTTTTCCCTTTAATCACTGGATTTGCAAAGACCTCAAGAAAATCTCTATCATTTCTCACCAGGTTTTGTTATCATCCCTCTAAGAAGTCTTAACTAGATTTTGTATCAAATATTCTCAAGGCATCATCTAGTTCCTGCCATATAATTTCAATATAACTATCTTCACAAGTTTCTCTTGAGTTCTTCTTGCTATCCTAAAATTATTTTCGTTTGGGATTAGGGACAAAACCATCAGCCTGGGGCCCTTTATTATTGATGCTGGTCTCCATCTCCTCCTGCAATGCTGTGCTTTCTCAGTGAGACTCCGGCAGTCCCTTGCATGTTGCCCCACCCGGAAGATTCCCCACACCTCTCATGATTTCCGTAATGGCTGGGTGCCTCTTTCTGTTCCTCTAAAAGTTTGTTCCCTGGACCTCCACCTGACCCTTCTTCCATCAGATCTAACTCAGTATCAAGAATTTCATTCTTCTCACTTCCTCTTTTAAAGTGGACTCTTCACTATTACCTTCTTCATACTCACCAACCATGTGAAGATTAATTTCATGCTTCCCGAGACAGTGATAAGCATGTGGTTATTTTTGTTCTTTTACTCCTGTATCTTGGCTAAACTCTGATGTGCTAAGCCTAAATCGCATGCCCAAAGCCTGGCACAAAACACTAATAGGTGAGGAGGGGACATGTGACAGATTGACGTCTTCACTTAGCTCAGGATTCTACAGATCAGGAGGAAGAGCAGTTTCTCCAAAGAAGATGAAAGAAAATAGACAGGACACCTGGGGAGTCTCTGGGAACTGTAGAGCCCTCAAATTTGACTGACTAAAGAATTACCAAAAGCTCTTCATCTGGACAGTCACGCAACAGCTTAGTTTGCAAAGCTACATAGACTAAGATGTTGAAGGGTGAATTTTAACATAATACATTTTTCAGTGTTTTACCAAGTAGGCCTACTAAGGTACTGCAAATTCTATAACTAGAAATTTAATGTGTACTTTCAGGTTTTTAAGTTGCACCTTTATCTGTATTCTAACAAAACATAAATGTTTGTATATTACAGGAGGTGAGTTTTTAACAGTTTGGAAGAAGGCCATGAACACTTCCAAAGTATCTCAGGCCATGGCCCGGATGTTTATCAATGGGGTACTCTTAATACCGATTTCTCCATAGCCTATGTCTTGGCATTATAGGGCACTCAACTTAATTCCATAATAAAGAGAAATTAAATGTCATAAATACTATTCTATGCAACATATTTTGTTTTCCTTTTTGTCATAAGTGTCTTTGACCTTCAAATGTTAGGAGCCAGTAATCTCCCTATTCTATTTTAACCACAAACTGGGTTTAAACCTAATGAACCCTGCAGATACATCAGTTGTACATGAATATGCAAACATCTGTATTTCACGTGGGTTAGAGCTATCAATACATTTTCCTAAAGTTCATTCCTTGAATGCCTGTTAAATAGGACAAATCTACCTGTGGTAGGTCATTCTTTATGGTACAATGTTCAATATGGGAGTAGATGTTGTCTACAGTGCTATTGTAGCACTGAGCTCAGACCACGCTGTATAGAAGCCTCTCTGTCAGCTCACACATGGAAATGGCCGAGTCTCTGAGAACAGGAATCCTCATCTGACCATCCAGTAGGAACTGCTGAGCTGCTCCAGACCTGGGAAGTCAGATCTATCCTTGCCAGTTTTATTCCACCTCCCTTCGTCTCTATCCTTCTCTATGTCCCTATCATCTCCCCTTCATCCATCCTCCTCTTTTTCTCCTTTTCCTCCTTATTCTCCTTCCTTGTCTTCTCTCTTCATTTTCTACTGAAGTACTCATATGGAAAATATCATATGTTAGATATCCATTAAAAAGACAAAACATAACAACTGCGAATATTTCCAAATGGAGTGAATGGAAGCAATTATTTCAGAAAGAAAACAACTTCTGATGGCTCTTGTTACCAAGAAAGCTGACAAGCTAAGCTTATGCTGGGACTTAACTGTCCAGGTGTCCCATGCTTTAATGCTGTGGTCCCATTGAACAAAGCTACTGCTTCCTGCTAACACCAATGAAAAATAATCTAGTCTCAATGCCTATGCACCTTCTGAGGATCTGACTGGCTCAAATCAACCTCAGCCACCAGACCTGCCCCCACCATATGATCTGCAACCTCAAGCTGCTGCACTGGCACCTGTTCTCCTGTCATCAGATCAGGCTTCAGGATCTCTATCACCAGCCCCCACATCCCATTCCCTACACACAACAAGAAAACAGCAGAAGTTTACAGGATCCTGCTGGGAAAAATCGTCACTAAATATGGAACTACACTTGATCAAAATGACATCAAAAATGGGCCTGCATTTGCCACAGAGATAACAAATAAAAAACTACTTACAATGCATCTCTTAAAAGCTGAGAAAATTAAATATAGCTCTATAGAAAAAGCTTATAACCAACTACATAAAGACCCACTATATGTTTAGGCACTCTTACACACACATATAAACCAGATGCATAGAAATTACCTCCAGAGCTATTAAAGTTTCAGAAATCCAGCCTTAGATTCCAGCATTTACCTGGATCAGACAGCTCACTCCAAATAAAGGACACAGTGAAAGCCCTGTTCTGGTCACTCCGGATGCTGACCAGACCATACATGGCTGAAGCCTGAGGACACTGTTCACAGGACCTCTCCATGCCTGCTTCCCTTGATGTTTGTGATTTCTAAAGCTGCTTACCCTAGTCTTTGCTTTCCTGCCCACCCCTCATTAGCTTTGTTTTTTACCTTAAACTCTGTGAATGGTGGGCCCCTAAAAATAGAAAAATTGATCAAACACTTGATCAAGATTTGATGAGCATCTAAGCCACATTGGACACTCTTTTAGATCAGATTGACTCCCTCACTTTCTTGTCAGAGTAATACTACAGAACACACATCAATTATATCTCTAACTAAAAGCACCTTAGGGAAAAATTCTGTAATCAGACAATCTTAGCGTCCTTAGCTAGTGTTCTTGGATTATTGATGACCACAATATTTCTTCTTCTACTTGGGACTTGTCTCAAAAGAGACATATAATATGTCCAGCAATGTTTGATGTGAAATTAGAAGAGGAGGATATGTAACAGGAAATTTCCCTGTCCAGCCAGTATACTTCAGTTTCTTAGTTATCCAAGTAATAGTTCCTCTTGCAGTTTTGGTTGCTTCTGTCTCCTAGAAATCACTGATCATTGTGATGCATATCTGGTCACTACAATGTATATTGTAAGAACCAATTCCCAATTGATAAGCCACCCTGCCTCTGTACTTCATGCTAGTATACCCCACATAAGCCCTAGCCCATCAGAAATTTGGGGAATGATTCCAATCAGAGCAAATCAATTCGCCTCCAAATCCTGGGTGTCATTTCAGTGTTTGTGCTTGCCATTACACTATGAGGCTTACTGAATGCTTACTTGTTGGGGTAATCATAATAGATTTAGATCAACTTAAAAAAAACTACTCTGACTCATTCAGAAAGGAGTCACACCCATTCATTCATTTTTTCCTAAACTTGATCTAAATACAAATACCATATATATGAAATATATATATCAAAAATTTAGCCATCCATTTATTCAACCATCCTTCCTATAATTTCTGTTTCTTAGAAAATTCTACCCAGTACAGATGCACAGACTGAGTTGAAAACTAATCCTCATGAATTATCTATTCGTTGAAAGTAGAACTAAATGACCAGAAGTTTGCATAGGAGTATGGAAGATTATCAGTCTGTCACTAATTGCAAAAATAAACAAGGAAAAATTAAGAGAAAAATAATATCATGGACAAAGAGACAAGCTTAAAAGAAAGACATTAAGAATATTGTAGTGCAGAGTCCAGGCCACAGCTTAAAAATTGTTGGTTAACAGCATTTAACCGTAATAACCATTAATGTAAATGGTCTCAATGCACCAATCAAAAGAAACAGACTAGCAGAATGGATCAAGAAACAAAATCCAACCATATGCTGTTTACAGGAAACCCATCTAACCCAGAAGGATACTCACAGACTGAAAGTCAAAGGATGGAAAACAATTCTTCATGCAGCAGGAATCCAAAAAAAGGCAGGAGCAGCCATTCTGTTTGCAGACAACATGAACTTTAAACCAACAGTGACCATAAAGGACAAAGAAGGTCACTACATACTCGTAAGGGGAAAACTCCAAGAGGAAGAGATAACTATCTTAAATATATGCGCACCAAACTTCAGAGCACCCAGTTATCTAAAACAATTATTAACAGAAATGAAAACTCAAATTATCAGTAACACAATTGTAACAGGAGACCTTAATACACCACTGACACCAAGGGACAGATCAACCAGACAGAAAATGAGCAAAGAAATAACAGAACTGAATCACACCTGTGAACAAATGGGTTTGATAGACATATACAGAATGTTCCACCCAACAACATCAGAATACACATTCTTTTCAGCAGTACATGGATCATTTTCTAAAATAGACCATATATTAGCTCACAGAACATATTTAAGCAAATGCAAAAGAGTTGAAATCATCCCTTGCATATTATCGGATCATAGCGCTCTGAAATTAGAAATTAATGATAAAAGATACTGCAAAAATTCCGCAAACACATGGAAACTAAATAACATACTCTTGAGTAATCAGTGGGTCACAGAAGAAATTAAAGGAGAAATTAAACAATACCTAAAAGAAAATGAAAATGCAGATACAACTTACTGGAATCTGTGGGATGCAATGAAAGCCGTTCTGAGAGGAAAATCTATTGCACTGAGTTCCCACATCAGGAAAACAGAACGAATACAAATAAATAACTTGATGCTACACCTCAAACAGCTAGAAAAAGAAGAGCAAATCAAGCCCAAAGCCAAAAGAAGAGAGGAAATTATAAAAATCAAAGCAGAAATCAATGCAATAGAGACTAAGAAAACAATCCAAAGAATCAATGAATCAAAGAGTTATACTGTTATACAGATTCTTTGAAAGAATAAATAAAATCGATAAGCCCCTAGTCAATCTTATTAAAAAAAAGGGAAGAAAAAACTCAAATTCATGCAATAAGAAATGAAAAAGGAGAAATCACTACAGACCCAATAGAAATACAGAGGATCATCAACACCTATTTTGAAAACCTCTACTCTCAAAAGTTTGATAACACAGAAGAAATAGACAGATTCTTAGAAGCATATGAAGTACCAAAGCTAGATCAAGAGGATATAAAACTGTTGAATAACCCAATCTCTGCTAATGAAATTGAAAATGTAATTAAGTCCTTACCCACCAAGAAGAGCCCAGGCCCAGATGGATTCACTGCAGAATTCTACAAGAAGCATAAACAAGACCTAATGCCGACACTCCTCAAACTATTCAATGAAATTGAAAGGGAAGCAATCCTACCTAAGTCATTCCTGAAAGCAAATATTACTCTAGTACCAAAACCTGAGAAAGACCCAACTATAAAAGAGAACTATAGACCGATCTCCCTAATGAACACAGATGCAAAAATCCTCAATAAAATATTGGCAAATAGGATCCAGCAAATCATCAAGAAGATTATACACCATGACCAAGTGGGATTCATCCCAGGAATGCAAGGATGGTTCAACATACGCAAATCAATAAATGTAATCCACCATTTCAATAAAGCCAAAAATAAGAATCACATGATCATTTCTATAGATGCAGAAAAAGCCTTCGATAAGGTCCAACACTTATTCATGATAAGAACTTTACAGAAAATTGGAATAAATGGTCTTTACCTCAATATAATAAAGGCCATTTATGACAAACCAACAGCCAGCATCATACTAAATGGCCAAAAATTGAAAGCCTTTACTTTAAAATCGGGCACAAGACAAGGATGTCCTTTATCACCACTCCTATTTAATATAGTACTGGAAGTACTAGCCAGAGCAATTAGGCAAGAAAGAGAAATAAAAGGGATAAAGATAGGAAAAGAAGAAGTTAAATTATCATTGTTTGCAGATGACATGATACTCTACATAGAAGACCCCCTAAACTCCATTGAAATACTCTTAGATACAATAAATTAATTCAGTAATGTGGCTGGATACAAAATCAATACTCAGAAATCAATAGCATTCCTATACACGAACAACAAAATTACAGAGGGAAATAAGAGAAACTGGACTATTCACATTAGCAAGCAAAAAAATGAAATATTTAGGAATTACTCTTACGAAAGAAGTGAAAG